GAGACCTTCTCTTCCGCCAGAATTTGAAACGTATTCTCCGTTCCGTATATAATCGGGCTCGTGGTTTTATTTAAAAAAAGTTTAAACCCCACTTCCTGTTTGTCCCGTGATCTAAATACTTGTTTTGGGCCAGTTATCTTCAAAACCTATAGCTGCGGTGTATTTCCGGTAAATGATACGACCGTTAGCTCAGTCAGCATGCGAGGCTAACAGAAAGACCACAATATAAAGGAGTACGCCTACAGAGTATTATGGAGTACTACGTAATTTCTCGGAACTGAGAGAATCCACTGGACCTATACGGCAATTAAGTCTTGTTTACACATTCAAATCTGACTTCGTGGAGGAGAGTCAGAATTTCGGGCCTTTTTCGAAACCCTAAAATACATTATCATCTTCACAAGAGCCTACTACTGAAATCTAACCTAACCCTGTTGAACCCAGACCACATCATCACATCCTGTCTTTAAGATCTATTTTAATACTGACCTCCCATTTACACCTCCGTGACACAAGTGGCCCCTTCTGTCCAGGTCTTCAAATTAAAATGTTGTATGTATTTATGATCTTCCTCTTGCGTGCTCCATGCCCCACCCATCTCCTTCTCCTTCTCCTTGATTTAATCGTCCTAATACTATATGGTAACGAGTACAAAATATGCAGAAGTTCACCATACAGTTTTTTAGTCCTCCTGCTACATTTACTTTCAGACCAAACATTCTCCTCAGCACTTTGCTCCATAAAAATGTACGCTCTTCATTTAGACTATATATAGCAGCCCTCAAGTATCCTATAGTTTTCCCATGATGTTCCATGTTAATACATTAATCCGTCAGTATTATAAAACATAAAACACCTTGACCCTTTTACATTTGAAATATATTACAGTCGTAAATTAAACAATATGTTGTAAAAATTACGCGGGCCGGAAAAAGTGACGGTGGGTCGTAGCGAGATAAAAATCAATTGTACATGTTTAAATTAAATTCAAAACGATGTTGTCTGTCAGAGACAGGGCGAAATATCTAGTGTTTCTGACACAAAATAAGAACACGGTCAGTGCTCATGATCATACGTTTTAATTACATGCATTTGTTTATCATGAGAGGTCGGAAAACCGTGGCGAGCGACTTATCGATTTACTTCCCCTTGTGTTGGGGGAGATGCAGCGCTCTGTTCCCGTAGTGGGGTAATGAACTGCCGGTCATAGACTTCTCTTCAG